AAACAATTCTTGTAATCAAGGTCAAATAAAGGCTTTTTTATTTTTTATTTTTATTTTTATTTTTTTTATTTTTTATTTTTTTTATTTTTATTATGCTTAGGTCCACTTTAATGCACCAATTTTCTACTAGTTATGTTATTACGTAAGCCTCGTAAGTGGTGATATAACCACTATACTGCTATTTTATAGGCACAAATTCGCACTTATTGTTTTTATTAAAACGTTGTAATCTTACCCAACTTAGGTACAGTTTTAATGTATCATATTGATTTATTAAGTATATTTAAAGCTTTTATACTGGGCTCATTATTAAACATATTGACATTATTACGAACTGCTGATGTTGATGTATTTTTTTTTTGGCATATATTGGTCTGTCTACCTACATGTCTGTAATATCCTTCACTATGCCAATCGACTTTAGATGACATCGAAATAATTACCTTTGTAGTTAGTCTACAGGGTGTACAGTCAAGACTACATTCCAGTTTTGATCTATTTCAGATACCTGACATAACCTTGTTTAGAAACTATGTGACCATACACAAAAGAGTGACAAAAATGGCGACATTGCAAGTTGAAACCTATTCTACCAAACTGTGTGCTTTTCCGTAGTTGCTTTATTTCGTATCAAATTCAATACGGGGCAAAATTGTGAATAGATCGAGGAGAATAAAGATGAAGTTTCAGTTTTTTCGTCAGAATTCAAACATATTTTTACTTGGAACAACTATGCATAACACATTTTAAACTGTCAAACACCAAGCGGTCACCAGTGACCGCAACCTATTGTTCTATAACTGTGTCTACAAAACCGGTACTCGACGAGTTAAGGCGAGGATAAGTTATGATAATCAGAAATATCATTAAAAAGGTTAGCGCTAGTATAATAGTATTACTCATTATCAACATCCTGTTCTCGTCCATTACAGGACATAGGTCTCTCCAATGGCACGCCACTGATTTCGATCTTCAGCTCTACACATCCAACCACTACCAGCCATCTTGCGGATGTCATTACTCCACCCAGCTGGAGGGCGCTCTTTTTTTTTTTGATGGGCAAAATCACCCAATGTCTTCTTCCGCCTTGGGTTAGGCGAGAGGGAGTGTCAGACTCGTACTGACTAAAACCACCCCGTTCCTACTCCTGCTACACTACGTTTCAAAGTCAAAGTCATGTACTGTACTATCTAGGTATATATATAGAGGTATATATATATATATATATAATGAAACCCGTTTCCCGTTGTCACGCCATAACTTGAGAACAGCTAGACCGATTTGGCTGGGTTGATTTTGTTGGGTTTATTATTGTCAGGAGAAAGTTCTTATGGCAGAAAAAAATCCTGAAAATCCTACGGGAACGGGAGAAAACGGGATTGCGCGTACGAAATCGCGAGAAGAAGCTAGTTACTTATAAAAAATTCAAATACTTGTCAATGTTAGCCAGTTATGTACACTAACCTTCTTAACAAAAACCATACCCCAAATACCTACATACTAGAACAATTATATACAGACACCGTGAATTTTCAGTATAACATTTACAACGAAGGTCCTTTACCTATATAAAGGTACCCACATACTAAGGAGTTAGAGAAAATATTCTTAGAAATTAGAAAGAAGCCGGTTCTGAAAGTAAGACTCCCATACCTATTACCGCTGCCAAGTACCATCGGGTACAAGTTTGAAGAGTGCAGATACCGTCCAATTACGGGACCATAAGTCTTTTCGAACTTTGTTTATATTTCAACGTTATATTTTTAATAACATCAGTTTTTTCATCGACTGCCTTTTAGTCAAGCATATGACCTAAATGAATTATTCTAGGTATCTTTTTAAATAATTTATCTATATTTAGCAAGTAGTGATTTGATTTGAGTATGGTTCTTAACAATAAACTTATTCATAAATGAGATTGTTTTTATAATAATACGTAGTGAGAATAAGAAGACAAGTTATAAAGTAGTCTCTCTTATATAAATATCGGTAAACAAGACCTTTATAATTCATAGATGTACTTATGATCATTGCCTGATTTTGATGAGAACTTTTAAATAATTTGATTAAGATAAAGACTCCTCTCTTCAAAGTAATCCTATAACTAATTATAGAATAATTTAAAAAAATAACATTTTGAATCAGATTAAAATTAAGAAATACTTAAAAGAGTAAAATTGGAAGAACATCTTGAAATACAAAAAAAAAACGAAAAAAGAGGTTTTCAAATAAGACTATTAAAACCTTGTTACCGCTAACGCGCAATGAATCGTTCTTCTAAAATCCATCTAATGGCACTGTAAATAAAGTTTTATTTGCAGTAAGCCGTTTCAGATCCCTGAATGAAGGCAAAAGTTACGTAAACATACCCTTTTGTTTGAAAACTTCTTAGCGGATCTGTTGAATCTGAAGCTAAATATCTTGGCGTTTTATACTTCTGTTTTATATAAAAAACTGAATTTTATTTTCTTCTTATTTGAAAAACTAAGTAGCACTTAAAGTAGGATTTATTACTTGTCTTTATTTACTTCTTTTCTTTGTAATTGTAATGAGAAAGAATGAATGAATGAAGGATTATTTTGTAGATGCTTATTAAACTTATGTTACATTTTTGTTTTATTCAATTCTGGTGCTTGTAGCATTTGTACTATAAAATGCAATGAATAAGTTTTATTTATAAGTTGACTACTGTATTCTAAAGATGCTTGCGTTCTAATTATTTCTCCTGGGTTTGCGCTGAACAAATAAATAAAAGGTTGACTTCTAGTAGCTCAGAATGAAAATAAATATCGAATCTTAAACAAGCGATATTTTTAGAAATCTTATCTGTCCAGTGACTTCTTAATAATAACATATTAATAGAAGCATCACCAATTCCACCCTTAAATTAAAATTGTATTAAAAAATAAATTTCTCTTACACACCACCCACCAAACATGCACGCCTACATAACAGCAATTCATATCATGCACATTACTCTCTTAAAATATCTATACGAAGCGAAACCAATCGCTCACAGCGCCTATTTTAATAAAAATGTAAGTGAACTCGAGGAAGCTGCTTCAGTAATACCGTAAATCCGATCGGAAATCATATCCCTCATCGACTGATCTCTATCGGCCCCGGGAGGTTTTACAGCGAGATAAAGAGCGAGAACAGACTTGCTCCTACGCATATATTATGAGTATGAGCCACCTGAGGGCTTAGTTATGTTTTAACGTTTTATTTTTAGTATATTTAGTATTCTAACATTAAATCGATCGAGTGAAAAATAGTGTCATTAAAAAAAGGTGTGGATTCAAAGATGATGTTGTGACAAGGATTGAAAAGGAGATGTTAGGCTAGTTTGGACATGTAGAAAGGATGCGATGAAAGTAGAGTAACGAAAGAAGTATACAGAGCGAATATGTATGGGGCCGTCGGGAGGGGGCACCCTAAACGGACATATACTGACCAGATTGGCGATATATTAAAGAACGGCCAAATTAAAAGTACCCTTAACCAACGAGCATGCATGAAAAGATTGATGACTGTTGATGAAGCGAAAGAAATATGTAGTAATCGTAATAGGCATTCCATAGTCTCTGCCTACCCCCATGGGAGACAGGCGTGAAGTTATGTATGTATGTATGTGTCTAAATTACTGTCTCTGCCTCGTTGGCCGAGTGGTCGCAAGTGCGACTGCCGGGCAAGGGGTCTCGGGTTCGATACCCGGGTCGGATAAAGTATTACTGGGTTTTTTTTTAATCTCAGTAGTAGCACGGAGTCTGGCAATGTGCCCGGTATATCGCAATAGGCTCACCCCCTATTACATAGGACTCATAACACAAATAGTGAAAAGTGGGTGTTACATTGTACAGTGGCATAATGTACACCTCTGCCTACCCCTTCAGGGATAAAAAGTCGTGATGTTATGGTATGGTGTCTAAATTTAAAAAAAATAACTTGCAGATTAAGTTCATTTTAAGATATCACTATGACTTATTATCTTATCTTTACCCCATTTCCTTGTCGGCGACCTTTGCACTTAAAAATTTGAGGCGTATTTTTTTACCCCACTAATGCAGTAATAAGTCACAATTTCATGCTGGCAGTGGTTAGAGGGCGTTACATCGCTGGTCGAAGTAGCCCATTCGAACTATTTGTAGCAAGTATCTTTCAATCGTCGAAAATACAAATTAAAATGACTTTTTCTTATGACTTCCCGACCAAAAAAATCCAGAAACCGGTTATTCATCAGTGGGACTTGTGCCCAGTCGACCAGTCAAACAGTCAAAGCCAGACATATAATGTAATCAAATGCCAAGCTCTGTGTCATGCATGATTCATGCTTTGTCTACTGTATTAGCAAGTAGTCACCTAGTTATTCAGACATGATTATAGTTAAAACTAGGTAGCTGGTATTATATTCCATAATGTTGGAAACTATTGGGATTTACGTGACGAGAATAAAGTTACGTAAGAGTTTGTTCACTTGTTTTCGTACAACCATTGTTTTTGTTTTGTTTTATTCTATTGTTACATTTTTTTCATAAAAATATTACCATTATACCATCAACAACAAGGACGATGAAATATAGGCGGACGTAACTGATGTTACTTAGAAATGATTGAAGCAACAAAATGTCAGTAGTGTATTGATGTGCTTTTTTATGGTATTAAGCCGGTAAACGAGCAGACGAATCACCTGATGGTAAGCAATCGGCGTCGCCCATGGACACCTGGAACACCAGAGGCGTTACAAGTGCGTTACCGGGCTTTTGGGGATTCAGGGATTGGGGAGATTGGGGAAGGGGAGGATAATTGGGCCTCCGGTAACCTCACTCACACGACGAAACACAACGCAAGCGTTGCTGACTGATACTCATATTTTTGTTGTTAAAAATGTCTTCAAGGCCTAAAAACAAATGATTTTGACTTCTAATATTTAAAAACCGTCTTCATTATGACTTAATGGACTACTAAACTATAAACAAATTCAATCAAAACACTACACATACCTGGTAAACACATAAGATCCAGCGAATCATCAGTCAGGTTGTACACAGTACAATTGGTGGGCGGATCCGGCCTCGTCGCCGGCAGCAGTGTGTAAACACACGGCGTCACTTGCTGCCCAGCCAAGTTCGTTGCTCGACACGATAACGTCCCGTAGTCGACATCGGACACCGGTGTATACGTCAGTAGAGACTTGCCCTCCTTTCCTTCTACTGTGAACCGATCCTGTGGATGTAATTGGTGCTTTTAGTACACATATTGGTTTCTGGTATTATTTTCGGTGTAAGTGCTAGTTTTCTATTTCATTGATTCTAAACAGTTTGAGCTAACTTGGTGGACCGGTCATACGAACCGCTGTTGAGCGCAGGATATTAGTAGGATTAATCTCAAGTCGGACAAAAGTTGCATAAGACTATAATAGTAGTCCTCTATAATGATTTGAGTAATGTCATGATCAAATTCTATTGCATATTTTTAGAAAACGTCTAACCTAGCATAAATTCTAACGTTTGAAGATAACTAAGATCAAAAGCACTGGGACAATGGTCCTATAGTTATCCTATCATCCGTCACTTGGCCCCTATCTCACGTCAGAAGCTATTCACATCCGAACTGAATTTGATTACAGACTAAAGCGAGCCCTGCAGTATTAATTGGTTACGTACTCAAAAGAGGAAACGTGGTCACGAATTAATACGATAACCCTTTGTGAGTACGAAGTGGACTATTAAGTTCTTAATCTTTTTGTCGTAGATTCTGAAAGGAATTGATATGACATGTATCGCCTTTTATTCTTCCAAGACTATTTGATGTAACAATTACTTTTTGCCTTAGTGATAATTATGCAAAAACTATTCAAAGGTACGACTGCCTCGTTGGCCAAGTGGTCGCAAGTACGACTGCCGGCAAGGGGCCAAGCAAAGTACTACTGGGCTTTTTTTTTAATTCTCAGCACAGAGCCTGAAATTGTGCCCAGTATATGCCAATGGGCTCACCCCTTATTACATGGGACTCATAACATAAATAGTAAAAAGTGGCTGTTACATTGTACAGTGGCATTAAGTGCCGTAATGTGCACCTCTACCTACCCCTTCGGAGATAAAAGGCGTGATGTTACGATAACAATGTTATTAAAACCTCCGGACTACCAATGATTTTCGAAAATCTGAACACCCAACAATACAATATGTCCGAGAGCCAAACCTTACAAATCCGATATAGTGTTGGCAAAATCCACTCCTGTATTTAACTTAGTACTCTGAAGCGTAAACGCTGTATTTGTCTATACAGTTTGTGATACAGATTATCGACCTCAAAATCTTTCAAGTATATTTTCTAACACGCATAACGTATCCACACAAAATGGCACCTGTTAGTTGTCCCCATTCAATTTTAATGCCATCCGGAAACTCCCACAAATCGCTTGTGCTTCCAAATCTATTATACCATAAATCATAGCAAAGGGGCTATCATTATCTTTTATTATAACATATTAAATGTTTCCTACGAATGTGGTTTTGGCTGTAAATACACTATTTCTTGGCCTCCCGTTTGTGTCAAGAGGCAGTGAAGAGATTTATGTATAAGGAAGATGGGTTGTGTCATGCAGCATATTGGTACTTGTAGGCGATAGTTGGATTTGTGAACATGTTTTTGGGTAGCAGTTCGGTACAAGAATAACGGTTGTAGGAAAAGTTAATCAGATTAGTATCTTTCTGCTGTGGTGAGTTTAATAGTAATGGTGATGAGTAGACTCATGTTTGAGTATATTCCAATTTTTAATCATATAGATTAGGTTATTCTCACTTTAAAATTTTATAGTGATTTTTAATTGGACTTATAGGTACTATTGTAACAAGACAAAATAATTAATTGGTTTACTTACAGGATCAACTTTGATGGAACCCGCTGAGTTATTAAGGGTCCACTCGAAGGTATCTGGTGGTGGAAAGGCATCGACTTCACACGTGACTGTTGTAGGTTCTTGTAAAGCTGCTCCTATTATCTTCATCTCTTTTCTTTGGCATAATGGTCTATCTGTGTAAGAGAGGTGGAAAATATTTAGACCAAATCCAAAATGTCATATCGTTACATCACAATGAAGTCAAAGTACCAATTTTGATTTATCCAACAAAGAGACACTTTAAATACGTCAAATTGAAAATTTTCTTAGATAGATCTGTCTATAACTGAAGCCAGGAACTCAGTGCTAAATGTGGATTCTCAGTTTAAGTAAGCACAGACTATCTTTAAAACAAAATCGAATTACCTACGTACAGTATCAAATCCGTTAGCACAGAACCTGTGTGACGACAAACACACAGTACATTATACTGTCGAGGATTGTTAAAAAACAAAACGAAATTCAATCAATCAATCAATCAATCAGCATGTCAATTCAACGTAACACTTTAAACGAATTTTCTTGCCTTCGCTACAAATTTTAACATCGTATCCGAATATCACCAAATTATATGAACGAAAATGCAAATCGATCTTCTGTCGTGCATTCAGAATTCTCCTTATCTATACTAATATTATAAAGAGGAAAGATTTGTACCTATTTTTGTATGTTTGTATGTTAATAATGTGTAATGAATAGGCTCAAAAAGTACTGAGCCGATTTCAAAAATTCTTTCACCAACAGATACTACATTCTTCCAATTTGACATAGTTGAACAATGTAACCGAAGGTGTAAAAAAATGAGTCTTAAAATGTCTTTCGTCGAATGCGCTGCCGAAACTATTAGCGACAGAACTAAATAATGTACAACAATATTGAAGAACATTATAATGTCTACCAAAAACTCCGCGGTAGCATATGTCCAACTATTGTAGTTATGTCACTACAACAATCCAAATTTCCAAAAATAAATAACTGTCTACCCCGTGCGAAGCTGGGACGGGCTGCTAGTTATTAATATATTATTACCCTTGGCCGTCTACCGGTTATAAATGCAGTCCAGTGAAAAATTCTGAGAAAATTCGAATACGTATTAAAATCTTAAATTAAAATTAATATTGAGATAATTTATTACTTCATCCATATTGACAAAGCTTTTGTTTTTTACTTTCATTTCTGTTTCCTAGGCTTACAATATATCGATACTTTAATTCCAAATTGATAATGAAAATGGAAATAAAGTATCAATATATCATTTCACTTCAGGTATCAGTATCAATGTATTGTACTTTAAGTATCATCGTTACTTACGTGAAATTTATGTGGGTATTGAGCGTTAAAGACAGTACAATGAAATAATATATCAGTCGTAAATTATTTTCGTTTGTGGGTTTTTGGAATTTAATTTTTTTGGGTACATCATGCAAAAAAATGAGAATGACAGTGGAATAAAATTGGTACTTTATTTTTATGCTCATAAAGTATTGGTTTGCTTGAGTAATTGCAGTACGTGACTATCCAATACGAGTCTGGGTCTTGAGTATCAATGAAATGTTAAAGCTATTTCTATTTTATTTCTATTTTATTTCTCTTTATTTCATTAACAAAACGTAGCTATTATTCAGATCCCTTACAAACTTATCCCAAACCGAAATAGCATATGGCACCAACTTTACATAGGACAAAACCCATAAAACTTTTCGGAAACACAAAAGAATAACAAGAACACCATAGCAAATCATATAAAACACCACCGACCAAATAAAACAACCTTTAAAACTTTATTAATATAAACAAACACATTTTTACGACACATTCCCTTACGAATACTGCGCACAAAATGGCGGAACTACATACCTATGGATATAACAATATACTTTTAAACAATAGAAAATCGACTGATGGGCGTCGTAACGATAAAAGGTTTTACGTTTTCCCTAGTGAGAGACAAAAGTAAAAGGAATGAAAATAAAGTAAACAACCTCCTGAAATAGCTCGAAAGAGACTTGGAATGAATATTGCGTGTGATGGGAATGACTTGCCAGGAATTTACGCGAATGTGGTCACAGTGTAAAATAGAAACAGTATATTTACGATTTACTAAATTCTTACTTTCCGTGTGTTGTTATAGACTTACTAAGTAAATAACTATTGTCCAGATTATAACAGTAGAATATATACGAAAAAAAAATTATAGCATTCAAGTTATACATATTTAATTTCTTTGTATTAAGAGTAAATGAAGTGGCGAACAAGCGTTCTGTTTGTCAAACGACAGGAAATGCCACTGCAACCAGAAATAGAAAAACTTCAATTATATTTCTCAATTTAAGGCATTGCATTTTTCAATCATGGGTTAATTCTTAATCGTAGAATAAAATTGAAATGTGACTGTTATCGAGTATGGAAGAAATGTCAAATATTTATTCCTTTTATAAAATTAAACTGAACATTGAAATATCGACCTTAAGTAACTTATAAGTTGAACCTTATGTCCTCTTGAAACGCTGTCTAATTCTAAACTGTGGCCTGTTGTAAAACCATAGGTTGGTACGATAATAGTACAGTAATAAACAGTGTGTTAACATTTTCTAGTTGACCAATAATACCTAATGTTAAGGGAGTGGTTCTTAGTATACCAAGGTCTATGGGAACCATAGTCATAAACGTAATGGCTATGTTCATGTTCTCTAAAGAAAAAAAAGTAATTTGAACTACTTTTATTTTACTTATTTATATTTTACGGTATAGGTAAATATTGTCTAATTTTTATAATACGGGTTGGCAAGCAAGGAGGCAAATCATCTGATGGTAAGTATTAATTGCTACAGACACAGACAGAAGTTAGAAATGCGTAATAGACCCTGTGCGAAAGTGGAGGGGTCGGGCCAGGTACTTGTCCACTATAGCTAAGCTGCATATAAAGTCACGATATTCGTCGGTAAGCGACGCGCAAGAAATACCTTTGGTGTTGCATAATACTCTAACTGCTTTTTAGCACGCGGGTCGTAAGTTTCTTTACCGCTTCTAATTATGTCGGTTTATGACTTAGTGACCAAAGCTAATGCATTCATCGACTCCTGTACCATTCGGAAGGCCTTCTGACGTTTCAGAAGCGTTAAACAATAAATGACGATCAAAGCGAGCCTTAGCAAAGTTTTGAATAAAATTTTGTCGTCAAACTTAATATGGATTTGACTATAAAACTTTTTGTTCAGGCAAACAGGAGAGTTAATAAAAGGTGCGCTAAAATACATGTACATAATATTATCATTTAAAACGTATCCACACTATCCTTTTCCTGTCAATAGAATTAATTTAGCAACTTAATGACTAAACATAAAACCACCTGCCAACGTGGGTTAAATTCTAAAATGATGGAAATTAAAACCGTACAGCATTACCCTCTATCCATCAGTTTCAAGCACCGCCTACCCATTTACCCGGTTGTTTTTACATCCCGGTATTCCCTAACGAAGCTGTAATAAAATATACTTAACCCAGTTTCTTCAACGCCCCACGTAGACTAATATTTACAGTAAAAATACTATGGCACTTAGGCTCATCTAAATTTGAGATTAAACTATTTAGAAATATTTTTACATTGATATTGTGATGTTTACGTTTAGTATGTCTTGGTTGAAGAGAATGTTTAGCATAAAATATTATAGAGCCTGTTTTTCTATGAAATGTAAATAAGATATGAAATGTCATGATCTAAAATTTACACATATTTCTCTTTTTTTCTACATTTATTAATCTTTTTTTTTCTTAAAAAACAATTACCCACATTAGGATTTTCTCCTGTGTCGTGGGTGCGGTTACAAACATACAAGTTCACATACACAATGACACCCAGACCCGAAACAACAATTTGTGGATCACACCAAGTGTTGTTCCGTGCGGGAATCGAACCCGCGACATTTTGCACGGCAGCCGGTTGCCCAGCCACCGCGCCAACCGTGCAATCTTGATGTAATAAGTACCAAATTATTCTACTATCTGTAATTCCACGCCGCGGAAGACTTAACGGGTTGCCGGGGCAGTCGAGAAGGGCAGGAGTAGGAACGAGGTGATTTTTAATCAGTAAGTCTGATACTCTCCCTCCCGCCTGACCCAGGTGGCAGAAAACATTCGATGAATTTCCCCCCTTAAAAAAGAGCTCTAACTCTACACCAAGTATTATGTAGTTTAAGGTAACAGATTCTCTATTTGTTGGCATTGTGCATACTTATTTCTGAAAATGACTATGTTTTAGTAGTTGGAGAAGATTTGTAAGTATCTAGTCCTTTGTAGAATAGCAACATTGCCATTCAAATTGCATGTATTATATTTATTTTTCAAACCACATCATTACATTCCTGTCACATCCAAAATATAAACACATTACTCCAAAAAGCGTCTTATCTAGCTAATTATACAGGAGGTGTATACTAGATTTACTTACAAACAACTTGCATATGCAAATATGGCGACTTGCCGTCCCCTTCGACGTTGGAAGCGGTACACGTATAGCGCCCTGCTTGAAGTCTGGACACGTTCCGTAGTGCCAGGTTGGTGTTTCCCGTCAGTATAACACCGTTCGCAGGATTGTGTTGCAGTAGAACACCCTGTGGACAATTTATTGCACTTTATTTTTGAATAGTACTTTGTAAAGACATTTGGAATGATGATTCTGTGGTTATACGTCAAATGTAGAAATCACAATATCTTAGTGACAATATTTCTGTTAATCGTAGTTTTTGATGAAATGAGAAAATCGTAATATAATTGATAGACGAAGTTACTCGACTGGTTTCAAGTCAACTAGGGGCCCATAAAATTAAGCCGTACAACTCTATTTAATTTTACGTATTCACCTTTTTTGATTTATTTTTGTCAAATAAATCCATTAACTATACATGCAGACATCCGATAACTGCAGTATTGGTAAACGGATGTTAAAGTAATGAAATGCAATGGCTTGTCTCTTTTTAGCACAAAACATGAAAAAATACTCGGCCAATGCCGCAAAATAAAGGTGAAGCTCGCAGATTTCCAATCAGTATAAAATCTGGATATTACGAAAATACGATATACGTTTTTTGGCCATCGTTTCACGGTTCAATGCTTTATTTTCTGTCCCGTAATTGATAGAGTCACCGAATAAATTCACATTCGAACATTTGGAGATGCAAGTGCCACTAGACTGAGTCATTGTTACGGATTAAAAGTTGATTTAATTGGATATTGATAAACCTTTGTTAGTATATATCCTAACAACCATGCTATTTAAATAAATAAACGGTTATATTCCGGAATACTTAAAGGGACAAACAGGATCGAGGTCTGTTCTACAGTTACCATCGCTGAGAAAAAAAAAATTGATAACTCAAAACTTATCGATAGGTCCAATCCGTGATCGGTACGTGTTTTCAAATAATTATTATTAATTTTATAATCACACCTTTTATACTTTGTTGTTTCAGCGATATAAAATATCAAAACCGTATCAAATTCTCAAAAGGAACTGATTTTAAATATATTTTTTTGAAGCACAAACATAATCCCTAACAACATAATTATGCGACCAAAAATCAGTAAATTAATATTCCCTCTCATAAAACATAACTCTGCAATGTTAACAAATACTTAAGAATAAAGTTACTCCATTCAATTAATATTTAGATACTGTATTCTGAATTTAATAACAAAATGATTCTGCAACAAAATTTTCTGTATCAAATCCTGTACGATTTAATTATCTCTTAGTGCTCACCAATTGGCGCCACTGGCGTACATATTTCATTCTATTAGCTTAGTATCGGTGTCATAATTCTCCACCGTGTTTCATTTTCATCACCTAACCAATACTGGAATCTTTATCATAACTTGAATAATAGTGTTCGTAATATAAATAAATATCCTTGATTTTTAATGGTTTTTAGCAATGTTAGCGAAACAATAACTCTATGAGCAAACATTGTCTGCAATAAACCATTTTAATTTTACACAAGCCTTCAGTTAGACTGACCTATTGTCCTAGGTACAAAAAAGAAAAAGTCATGATGACAAAATAAAAGATGGAAAGTCATGATAACGTGCTATAGGTACGTCTATGACGGGCTCCATCGTGGACTGCATCATCGCTTACCACTATGCGAAATAGTGGTCAAACAGCAGTCCATCTAATATAAAAAAAAATATGACAAAATAAATGTCTCGTTACACGTGGAGCAGACTATTTCAGTACACAATATTATAGACAAACTAAGATTGACTATGTAATTGTAGAATATAAAGATTTTAGTTTAGACATATCCATAGTACAAGTCAAAGTAGTAGCCCTAAAGGCATATTTTTTATTCAACTCCTAAAAACTTGAAAATTGAAAGATGTGTTCTGAGAAGGTGAAAAGAAGGGATTACTTGGATATCATACCCTGAGGGAGTTTTGAGTGTATTGAACTTTGAATGAGAATATTGTTTATTTTTTTTATTTTAAAGGAGGTTGTTGATCGTAGGTTTTGATCGTGCGAAGAAGGAAATATCATCATTATCGTATTGCCACGTCTTATAATTGCAAAAGGGGTAGATACGATTTCATGTCTTTAAACTGTCAAACACCAAGCGGTCACCGGTGATCGCAACCTATTGTTCTATAATTGTGTCTACAAAACCGGTACTCGACGAGTTAATGTAATATTTATGAATCCTACATAATAAAGCGTAAGGTTAGAATCGTCATACCGGGCAATATTTCAATACCACTGACAAAATTTCGCAAAATAGAAAATAACTTAACAAATAACTAAAAATCGTGGGTTACTCACGTAAAAATACTGAGAAAAGCTGAAAAACATAAGTAGCAACATCAACGCAAGCGCCTACGCTAGCCAGTAGGCTGCGCGACATCGCCGCGCACACTGCTCATGAGGAAGAGCCACAGAGGATCTCTATAGCTTTTTTAGTATTTTGTGAGTAACCCGCGATTTTTAGTTAATTAAGTATGTATTATAAAAACATATATTAACAATATTATGTTGGACTCGGAAACCTACAGGTACTGTTATACCTGCTAATTTTAAGCTCGAAAGCATACTTAAATTCAGCACTTATCACTTAGATACTTATAACATGCTAATCTTGGGCGTTCCCTTTTTTTTTGCATTTTAGAGCATGCTTAATAGAACTCCCCTTAGCATAATATTTAGTCGCGGAGAACCTAACGGGTAACCGGGGCTCCGACTCGACGTGTAGGAGAAGGAACGAGGTGGTTTTTAGTCAGTAAGAGTCTGACACTCCCTCCCGCCTCACCCAGGCGGGAGCAGTCATTCGATGATTTTACCCCCTAAAAAAAAAGCATAATATTTAAAAGCACGTGTAATAGTACTTTAAGACGCTTGTATTATTTTTAAAAAACAAAAATCACAAAGAAACTCAATATTAATACTTCATAAAGTTAAGACAAATCAAATAAAACTTATAATTCGTAACCAGTATAATAAAAGTCTAAATAATCTTAGTAATAAAACTCAATGAACACTCAATAATTATATAAGTTGAAGTAATCACGAACTAATAAGTGAAATTACTTGAATCATAAGATACGTAACTATGTTAAGAAATTGTAGGGACTAAACATTAGAAAACTTCTTAATCGTTTGTTCTATTTACTCAGGACTTTGTTCTAGTTGCCGAGTTATAAACATTTCTCAATGTTTTTATTTTTGACAGATGCTAGTATAAATAAAGAACAATATTTGACAAATTCGGAATTATTCTGCAATTATAGAACAGAATCTGCAATTTTTAAGTGTGGGAGAGCCATGCTTCTCCATGAGTGGGCCAGCTCGACCGGAGTGATACCACGGCCTCACAGAAAACCTACGTGAAACAACGCTTGCATTGTGTGTCGTCGTATGAGTGAGGTTACTGGAGGCCCAATTATCCCCCCTTCCCCCCAATCTCCCCAATCTCCCCAATCTCCCCAATCTCCCCAATCCCTGAATGCTCAACAATTCTCAAATTACTAATTCTCAAAAGGCCGGTAACGCATTTACAAAGGCGTTACAACGCCTCTGGTGTTCCAGGTGTTCATGGGCGACGCCGATTGCTTACCATCAGATAATCCGTCTACCCGTTTACCGACTTATCCCATAAAAAACAGAATATTATATGAAATGGAGTACCTACTCCATACTTATATGTAATGGTTTTTATAGGTACTGCCAAAATATGACATTATTTGACAAATTGTGAGTACATATATTGTTTAAATACCCTTGCTTTCAGTAGAATCTCTGAAGTTGAATATTCATGATTTTACGTACGTTTTAAATGCTAGGCCAAATTCACAAAAGACGAAGAGACGAATATCAATCGTCTACAACCAAACAATAGGTACATCCAATCTCAACCATTCACACGATAAAACAAACAAAATCAACCATACAGGTTTCTATACAAAATTAACTGACATGCCATTTACAAATCCGAAATCTCTGTAAATAAACAAATAATTTGATTACCTTTATTGGTTCAACCAAATGTAATACCGATACGCGGCCATCATTAAGCCTCTCTGTGTAAAATGACATTATCATGACATTAATCCCGATTGCCATGCGGGATGTAAATTGATACACGTACAGTAACGTTCAAAAATGTCTACACAATAGGTACAGTATCTATACAATCGGTACACTCCACTCAACTATTAACAGATAGGTAAAAAAGTGGTTAAAGGTTGACTTAGTATCGAGACAGTAGCTATTATAACACTGAGTTATATGGTTTTAGACCAAGCCACATCTTTTGTAGCCATTAGTCGGTTCAGTAGCCGACCAATGTCTCTGTAATGAATCAATCTTGCATGCATAGTAAATACTATGCAAGTAAGATAAAGGTTACAGTACAAATATTTAATTGTGCTGACTGTACATGAGCCACAAACATGTGGGTTTTCAAGATATCATGTAGAAAATTGACCTTTAAATAACTCAACCTGTATAAATTTTCCATTTACTGCAAAAACAAATTTTTATTAGAACGAGGAAATTATTTTTTTATAAGATTTATTAGTCTTAGGAGTAATGAGAAAAATACATGGATGATAAAATTAATAAGGAAAGCTGGAGTAAAAATAGTCGGCTTTTGAAAAGCTTTTGACATGAATATTTATACGCCTACACAATTTGGCTGGGATGTTTAATGGCTATTCTGTAAAAAAATTGGATATAAAACACACGTCATTGCAAAGTGATAGAGTTGACTGTTAAGGTGTTAGCTTGTAAAAATAGTTATACTTGTGGAAGATAGTTATTATTCCGTGTATCCCGGCTCAAGTTGTAAGTAATGATGACAACGTCATAACATCATTGAGTCAATAGTTCGGTTAGATCTCTGAAGGGGGCGTAACTGAGTCTGTTGTGTTGACACGGTTGCTGAGTTTGTCGTCATGGACTTGGTGCGACCACCACCGACGGCACGAAATCATGCATTGATTCTAATTCATAATTAAGGGCTCGTACACAAAGCTGCGATGCGATGCGAATTCGCAACGCAAAAGATTACGATGCGATTTCTTGCGACAAGGCGTTTCCCAGGGTGACCATTCCTTCGACCGTCCGTACTAAACGTAATTTAAATTGAAAACTACGTCGTGACATGGATCGTAAAAAGAAGTGTGCACTTCTGTTATTGCTTAGGAGATATAGGAAAAAGAAACAAAGAAGATTTTGGGAAGATAAGATTTTGATGCGCGATGCGAATCAATTCGCAAGTTCTTGCGATGCGTAAAGGGAGCTCGCACACGAGCCCTAAAAACTGAATTATTTATGCAACTTACTTATAATTATAATTAGAACAAGGTATAAGGCGTAAGTGGTACGATTTGAATAGAAAATAATATTATAATTTTATAAATACATTATGGAAATCATACAATAGGTGAATTTAATATCAAAACTATAATGCACGTTTTAATATAATAATTTTGATTCATTATGTGCATAATTTGTGTATTGAAAATTCGTAACAATAGCTTATAATACCACAATTCAAATATAAACGTCCATTATAGTAATAGAATATTAAATAGGGAACTTGATTCAATTAATAATGAAAATATTTAAATTGAAATTACCGGTACATTACATATGTATTTTTAGTTTAATACGAAAATAGAAGCTCAGAGCAGCAGACATTTTGGTTTTATTTTCTGCAAACGTTTTAGTAGGTACTGTCAGTGCCAAAATTTGCTGAGCAGTAAAGAACAAAAATGTTTACGTGTCCGGTGACTTTTAATTTATTTGTTTTGATTTATGCTACTGCTCTCTTTTTTATTTGATTGCCTTGTTTGGCCAAGAAGTCGCAAGCGTGACTCAGGGTAAGGGGTCTCGAGTGTGATTCCCAGATCGGGCAAATTATTGGGTTTTGAAAATTCAATAATAGTACGGGGCCTGGAAATGTGGTAATAGGCTCACTCCGTATTACATGGGATTCATAACATAAATAGTGAAAAGTAGGTGTAATATTGTACAGTGGCAGTAAGAGCCGTAATATGCACTTCTGTCTACCCCGTTGGGGTTAAAAGCATGATGTAACTTATTAAAAGTACGTAGTAAAAGTATGACTTATTTATTTATTTATACTTTATTGCACACATAGAAAAAATTGTAAGTAATAATAAATAATTATGACTTATTACCATAATTTGATCATAAGATAAGTTAAATTAATTGTTATTAAAGAATGCCTCGATGGCCGAGTGGTGTCAAGTGTGACTACCGGGTA